GAAAAAGAAATTTATTGAAACAAAGTAAATTAATAAAAAAATAAAAATAAATTATACAAATATTTTTCTTTTGCATTTTTTAATGAAGAAAATTATTTCTTTTTTTCTAATAATTTTCTATAAAAAGTATTGATATATATAACTTGTATAATATAAAATTGAAATCTGATTGAACGTTTAATAAAAAGTTTATAAAACTTTTTTCTGGAAATTCATTTTCATATATAAAAATTATAATAAGAAATTAACAAAAACAAGGAAATAATAAAGAGTTAAAAAAATTATTAAAGCCTCTCAGTTTCATAGGCCGCGTTTGTAATACCCTTGTTTGGCGGTATCGCAGCACTGTTCGCATCGTTAACATTTTGTTCGTCTGGATTTGACGTAGTTGCAATTGTTGCGTCAGTACAAACCTTTTTTTCTTCCCTCGTAGGAGGATTTTTAAGTAGCGTCAATAGCGGTGCGTACATAAAGCATATAATGGCAATACCGAAAAGCATCCATTCGAAACCTATCGTTTTCACCAAAGTCCCGCTTAACGCAGGTCCCACCGCAAAGCCAACGCAAAACGCAACATCACCTAAAGCATAAACACTGCCATAGACAGCTGAATGACGTATATCTACTAGATATCCTAGCTCTGGCATCATGGAAGAATCAACCATACCAATAGCAAAGCCCAGACCTGCATTGGGAACAATTAAATGCGTAATGGATGTGGCCATCGGTATCTGTACAAGAAATACATGAAATGTGTTATTAGATTTTTAATTTTTTTAAAATTTTTCTTTACCATAATTAAACAGCCTCCAATGATAATTAAACCCAAACACGCAGCTAACCATCTACCGATCTTATGACCTAATGGACCAAACAAATTGGTACCAATTAAATAGCTAATGGAGGCCGGAAGAAAAGCTACACCCTGCTCCCAACGGCTAGAGCCCATATTATCGACCATCCATAAAGGCAAAGAAGGCTCCAGCATAGCTATGCCCATATTAGCGAAAGTGACGGAACCTGATTAGGAATATATAATTTTTTGTTAAATATAAACAGAGTACAATTTTCAAGTTTACCAGCTGCAATTAATATATATGGGTCCGTTATTAAAGCCTTTAATGTTGGAGGTTCAGTTTCCGCCTTCTGCACCGAAGGCTGTAGCATGAAAAGTTGCAGTAGACCATCGCCGAGAGCCAATATGGATAATACTAAAAATGGAGCTGATTTGCCAACAAATTCATACATGATACCACCGAATGGTGGCCCAATTAAAACACCCAACGCCAAACCACCCAATGCGATACCCATAGCATTTCCACGTTCCTTATCATCGGTATAACGATCCGCTAACATACCCATTCCAGAAACTGAACTGCACGAAGACCCAATGCCCTGTAGAGCGCGAGCTATAAATAGCACCAAATATGAACGACCGAAGGCGAAAACTAAGAGTAATAATTGAAAGAATAAAAATTGAAATATGACTTCGGAATTATGAAACATACTTAGAGTCGAGATGAACATTACAACGAAACCAGCAAACATAGGTATACTGTAGCCAATCCTAAAAGAAGACAGAAAATAACAGGATAACAGAATAACAGTTTCATATATCAAGTTCCTCCGCCTTAATGAATCCACGGCTACATTTAGGGTGAAGCTCACATTCGATGAAATAATCTAAATAAGGATTATTGTCCCTTTGGTGTAAAGAAAACACATCTCATGTTCCTAACAAAAATACTTTTAAGCCCGCTTTGTGAGCCGAAAATGTCACTGATGAAAACGGTATTGCCGTTACCCCGAGAAGCACGATAATTGATTTCTTATGAAAATTCGACTTTCGAGAGATTAAAAAGTTGCCCTAAACGGTTCAAAGCTTTGACGCCAATTTAGAATGCCGCAATACTACCGCTTAGTGACTTTTGCCGAGAAATTTTCAAAATTGCAATTTTTTCCCATATAACGATTTTCCAGAAAAGGGCATTATATGGGGACCGATCGAAAAAGTAGAGCGATTCAGTGCATTTTCCATTGCCTTTGTTCTTGGATGAACATCACACATCAGACGGACGGACAGGCTTGGATCGATTTAGTAAATTATTCTGAATCAATTGGCATATAATAAAAGGTGGTTGTGCCTCAAGTCCTTCTGGGTGTTACATACGTCCGCACTAACTTAATATACTCTGTACCACATGTGATGTAGGATACAACAATAAAGAAATGAGGAAATTTTCCCTCTTAACTGCCAGTTATTGTGGCCGATTAATAATGTAATGAAGTTTTGAAGTGAAATTTCTTGAGTGCTAAGGTAATTTGCATATGTTACTTATCATAAAAAAAGTGTAATAAATTATAATTTGCTGCACTAAAGAAGGCTAATGTCAATTTTTAATTACCTGTGAGTTAATGGACCAACAATTGGATTAACTAGCAACTGCACAAATGCTTTGGAAGCGAACAATAATCCCACTTCCACCGTTTCGCCTACCAATTCCTTATGTCGTTCCTCCATTTCGCGATACAGTGTTTCGTTTTCTAATAATATAAAAAGTATTTTTATTTTAACTAATTTTCTCGTTTACACCGACTTAAACCGTATTTAAATTGCCAATTAAACTAACCGTCTGGACTCAGGGTTGATACATCAGCAGTTGACAGTACATCGCCGGCAGCATCTTTATTATTACCGGGGCAAGGTGTGGTTGGTGGTGGCGTGTGCGGCGTTAACGGTGTACGTGGAAAGCTTTCTAAAGGAGCATCTGGATGCCGTATATCGTACAGGAACTCAGGTATAATAGGAACTAAAAAGAAAGAGAAATATGTGTATATACAATAAACGGTCGTTTGTAAGTCAACTACAATTAAGTTGTTGTCGTTCATAATAAAACAATTTGCGAACAATTATGAGACGAAAAATCTTTACATACTTAAATTACTTGTTTGGGTCGTTTGACAAACGACTTTATATGCTGAAGGAAAAGAATGGAAGATTTTTTCATATTTTCATTTCATATCCTTTAACAAATTGCATTAGGAAAAAGTTGTTGAGGTTTAAGATTTAAATAAGCTTTACTTTAATTACTTTTTCCCATGCCTTATACTCTGCCAACAAATATATATGCATATATATATGTATATGTGCATGTTTATAGATACGTGTATATATTTTAGGCCATGAGCAGTAGGCCAAGAGTTTGTTGCAGTTGTGTTTTCAATTTTATTAACACAACTTTCAACTGCTAAACACTTGATAATTACTTCACGTGCTTCACTCTTCGCAACTCAATTGTGGCCGAGTATCTGTCGATGTGAATTTCACGCCAGCCAAAGCTTGTAATTGTTTGTTAGTGGGGTTTTACTTGACTGCCTGTAGTTTTGTTTACTTTTGGGGGTAATAATGTGGTTTCTCATAATCAAGTTTCCGTATTTCATTTTATTTAGTAATAGTTTGTTCGAGTGTTCTGTATCTTTTTATAAGTATTGTTATGAGAGGTATTATGCGGTTTGAGTTGGCGTTGTATAAAGTTTACAAAAGTGGTTGTTGATTGACTGCTGTTCATAAATTTTTTTGAACTTTCAGTTTGCGTTGCACGAGATTACTTAATACGCGCGTACATAAGCAATTCATTCTAAATATAGATTTTATTCGAGGCCTAATTAAGTCTTTTTATTACGCGCTTCGTAATAAAATAATCGGTTTGGAAAAATCGTAAAAATGCTTTCCTACTGCAAAAAAAAAAAATCGATAAGATCACTATAGTGGGCCATAGCCCACCATAGAATCTCCTAAGCTATCCTGCAGGTATTTATGTAGAGACTTCTGTGTTATATTGGAAGTGGTCGAAAAACTGGTCCAGCGCGAACAAGTAGCGTTGGCCTGGGGCCAAAACAAGGCAATGTACTAAATTTTGTGCAAAAAGGCGCAAAAATACGCCCTATAGCTGAAACACAAGAAATCAAAAAGGATAGACGGATAGACAAATTTAAATCCATTCAGAAAATGATTCTGAATGAAAATATCGCGAAAATTGCGCTCTATACATGGGACACAAGAAAGCAAGACGGATAGACGGACTGACAAGTTTAAATCGATTTAGAATATGATTCTGAATGAAAATATCGCGAAAATTACGCCCTATAGATGGGACACAAGAAAGCAAAACGGATAGACGGACGGACAAGCCTAAATCGATTCTAAAAATAATTGTGTATCGATCGGCTTAATAAAAAATATATAATTGTATATATTTATATAATGTATATATCTATATAATGCAACATATAATGCAACAAGACTTGCGGGCAAATCTGGGCTATCCCTTATGGAGAACAGGAATGTTTTTAATTCTGAATTTTTAAATATATTCATATGCTACAACACTTGTGGCATAAGAGTATATTAAGTTTGAATGGATGTATGTAACACCCAGGAGGACTTGAGATGAACCCGAGTTTTTTGAGCTTTTGCAGTTGTACGAAATTGTGGATGGACATACAAAGCTGAGTTGCTTTTCGATCTGAGACCGAGTTTGGTATCTCGAACTAGTGTTATAAATGAAACGAAAAGCTTACCGTACTTGCAGACTTCTTCGCTGTGCGTGCAAATTAATAACAAGAGCTTAAAAGTAATTTTTTGATATCGACTAAGAGCTGATTTGGAAATGAGAAAACTCTTCAGTAGAAAGGTTCAAATTAATTTAGTCATTGAAAACTAATTAATGTTATCTTCAGCGTTATGTTTTATGTATTTTAGAACAATTGAATATTTATGAATATTTCGATTAAGAGAAAACAGCTAAGAACATTATAGTCGCGCAAAGCTCGACATCCAAACACGTTAGATGACTTAATCCAAATTTAGCAAATTTAACCCCCAAAAATTTCGTTATCTCTCAGTCATCATAGAAAACTTCAAAAAATATGTTTACTCCCGATGTAAAGTTTTTCTTTTCAAGATAACTCTTACATATGTTAGGGTCTAAAAAATGGACCTATAAGATCCAAACTCTTTCCTGTTAATTTTTTTGCTAAATTGATACTATGAACCAATTTTCATTATAAAATCTTAAAAATACTTACTATTCATGAGGAACCTTACATGGAGTGAGGTCGAGACCCATGTCCATCAAATTTGGTCCACTTCAATTTTATATCAAATTACTAGCCTGAATAAATTTTCATTAAAAAAAATTAACAAATTTTGGTGTACCATCGTTCATATTTCGTGAGAATCCTTATATGCGGCGGAAAATAGGTCTACCTGGTCCAAATTCGGTAAGATCGATTCTTTTGTCAACTTATTATATGAACCAATTTTCAGGTTGAAATATTAAAAATTAGATCTTTCTACCACATACAGAATTAGTTTTCCTAGGAACGATTATATAAAAGAGGGTCCAAAAAATTATTCCTGCCGAACCAAACTTTTCATACCAACATTTTTAATATCGAAACACTGTCACTCAGTGGTTTATGTTTAGAAATCTTCAAAAGTGTTTCATACAACGACTTTTCAAATTAAAGCGTTATATGGAGAGTGCCCGAAAAAGTTGGATAACCCGATCCATTTTCAGTAGCGTTCGTTCTTGGATCAGAGGAGGTTACCAAATCTAATCAAAATATCTCAAAAATTGCCTGCAGGTTAAACACTAAAGCACGTGGGCAAATTACAGACGGACTGACAGGCTTAGATCAGAAACACTTTCTGAATCGAGCAGTATAGTAAGGGGTCGGCTTATCCTAAGCCTAAATTCGCAAATAAAGATCACGTATAAAATCTCAATTCGCTTTATATAAGTACATAAGTTGTATATGGCCTGGTTAAGACTATTGGCCTCTTTTAGTTGATTTTCAAATCTCGGCCTTCCTGGTGGTTTACAAAAATTTTGGGGCTAGTCGACAAGCTGGGCTATCCTGTATTTATGAAATTTTGAATGTAATGAATGTGCATATAACGAATAGTTTCATACTTATCATCCATGGACTAAAGAGTGTCAATTTTGTGATTCCGTAAGACTAGGACTAGAGTTATTAAAATTATAAAAATTGAAATATAAATAAAACGCTTTTAGTTTATGTCCTTAACTTTCTAGTAAATAAACACGTTTTCAAGGGACTAGTTTCTCACGCTTACTATGAATGTATACGGTTCGTATACATAGTGTGTAGATTATGTAATAAAATTCATCTTATGAATTAAATAATGGAGAAATGTCTTAATTGATCTAAGAGAATTTATTCCAGATTTAATTTAGTAAATGTTTCAGGCTGGTTATTCAATTTTCTCAACGGTCCAAGTATACCATTAAAAGTTCCCCCAACCACTTGTTTTTTTTTTCGATGTGGAAATTATTGTACGTACAAGTTACTAACGCAAGCCAGATAAATGATTCGGCGAGCAAAGTTTTGACGATGTTTCGTAAGGGTCTAGAGTTACTTGGCATTAAGTTAGCCTTATTCGCTATACGAATAGGACAGTTCTTCGCAGAACAGCATCTAATGCATATCTTAATTTTATTTTTGCGAGTGATACTTACAGACCGTAGTATAGTCTTGGGCTGGGCGTAGCTGATTGTTTGGAGCGTAACACCGAACTAAAATCATCCCAACAATCTAATATTACAGTTCTGGTCTAATTGATTAGATTAAATTAATGTGAATGGTAAACGACCGCTTACTTATTATTCGGGATATTTTCAAATGTCATAAATTATAACCTTAGGCGACTTTTTCCAAAATATTGGCAAGAAAAACCAACGCATTAGTGTATAAGTAAGGAATAAAATACCGCAAAATGGCGACACTTTATATCGTATATTTTGTTGTCTTTCCTTGCACTCTACTGCCTATCTACGATACTCGTTTCTTTTGCTCACCATCCAACCATAGGGTAGTGCTTAATTTATCAAAACGTATATGACACGCAAAGGAAACCTTCAAACGCCCTATAGAGCCCGTATTAGCTCTCGATCAGTGTTAAATTTAGAATTGAATTAAACATGTTCGTCTGCCCAAATTGTCCGGTCGCAAAAGTGAAGAGAGTTTAAATCTGATAAAGATATTGAGAATTTCTGTAGGCATGTTACTTTGGGCCAAATAGGCCAAATCTGTGATCACAGTACCCGTTTAAACTAAGAATATCTGAGCTTTCAAAAACAATTCTTTGGTCCTTACACTACTTGTACTAACATAACCCCACATCCCACACATGTACTAACATGTGGCCCACACCGTAGGTGTGTAGAATATTATTGTAGAATATAGGAATTTCATATTCTTTCATCTAAACCTTTGCAATATCCATACGAAAATTACAGAGAACCCATAAAGTGTATATATTCTTGGTCAACATTAAATTCGAAATTGATCTAGGTATGTCTATGTTTATTTGCCCATGTAAGTGCCTGAGCATTTGTTGGCGTTAATCATATTTCATATATGGCAACAATTAAGACATCGGCTTTAAACTTGCAAAACCATTGCGCATTCCTGTAAGTGGGTTAGTGGATTGAAAGTAAATCAAAAGGCCCGTCTTCAGCATAAGATGGACTTAGAAGAACTTTGTTTTGAAAAGAAAACAAAATTTAGGCTTTTATTCATTACTTTCACGGACAACACACAGATATGACAATAAAAGGACCCCTGTACAAGACAAAATTGGGGACAATCGGCCATATCCACCGATCGATATTTATATTAGTAACGAAATTACATTTTCATTGTTCATTTTTCTCATTTTCGAATAAAAGCATCGGAGCATTAAAAATTCGGTTACCACCGCATGTAGTTGTCTTATTTATTT